ACAACAACCATTATTAATTTCCTACCACTGTGTTTGAAATTCTGTATTTTTAAATTGTTTTTGTGTTGTTTTTGTTTATGTCTTTGTATTTGTAAATTGGTTTTTCTTCTTTTCTCTTTAAAATAAAAAAATGAATACATCCTCAATTAGATTGAGACCTAATAAAGACAGAGACTTACTTTGTCTTGCTTGCTGCTATGTACATAGTTCTCAGAAGTGTCTGTCACATATTAAATTCTGCATAAATAATTATCATCTGACTGAAAGAAAAAATAGATAGTAGATATTTCTAATAATGGAGCTAGGACTTTGAGACCAAGCCTCTATGAAAGAACGAAAAACTGGATGATATACAAAAACAAGGAAACATCTTAAAATTATTGAAAAGTTTGCAATATGGTGAGGAACTGTGGGGTCAGAAATCCAAAAACAAACGAGAGTGCAAAGAAGCCCAGAACTCCAAAGTTACTATTTCCCACAGTATATTTCACTCTGGAAGAAATAGCAGCATACATCACTTCATTTTTTTGTCAACTTCACAGGAGGAAAGGGGACTTTTGTTTCACTTGAATTTGCATGTAGGTCAAATTAATGAGAACTAGTATCTTTATGATATTAGGTTTTGCAGTTTATGAACATGACGTATTACTCCAATTACTTGGGTCTTCTCAGTAAAGTTTTATCATTTTCGAGAACTACATCTCCTTCTTTGGGAGGGTTTTTCTGGTCAGTTTGTTTAGTCTCATAGTATCATAACTACTCTTGCTCTCTTTGGCTTATGATTTGCTTGGGATATCTTTTTATAACCTTACAACTTTCAATCTGTTTGTGTTCTGGGCTCTAACGTAAGTCTCCTGTCGCTAGCATATACAGTAGTTTGATCATTCTTTTTAAATCTACTTGGCCAATTTCTATCTTTAGGAGTTTTATCCATTACACTTAGAGTAATTACTAATAAAGAGGGAATTCTGTCACTTTGCTATTTGTTTTGTATATGTCTTATAGGAAAATATGATCCATATTAGATAATAGAAATAGACTCAGAAGTAGAGATGGTAGCACTATGAAACAAGACTATGAAAGCGGCTATTGTAACTATGTTCATATATTTAAAGGAGACATGAACACAAGGAAAGAAATGGGAGCTGTTACAAAGAACCAAATGGAACTTTTAGAAATGAAAAATATAGTACTTGAAATTAAAATTTCACTGGGTACAAATTAACACCAAGAAGGATACTGTGGAAGAAAACATCAATTAAGTTAAAAATATAGAGTGGGAGTCAGAATCTATGACAGCCTCCAAGTTTCCCAACCTCTGGTAAATATCCCTTGTATGATAATTCCCCTTTTCCTTGAGGGGGGTGAGGCCTGTGAATATGATGGGATTTAACTCTTTGGGTAGGCTTTGTGGCAAAGGCCATGGGATAGTTTTCTCATGATTACATTATATAAATCTCCATCATAGCAGACTAGAGAGATATTCTCGTGTTGGTTTGGAGATAGTAAGCTGTCATGGACCACGTGGCTAAGATGTAAGAATCGCTTCTTAGTGACAAGAGCAACATTCTGCCAATAGCTGTGAAGAAAACGAATGATTTCAGTCTTACAACTATCAGGAGATACATTCTGGTAACTGAGCTTGGAAGCGGACCCAACTCTAGAGCTCCAATTATTGCTCTGATTGCAGCCTAAGACTCTAAGGAGTAACAGCCTATGACTGTGAGATGATAAATTTATGTTGTTTTAATGATTGAGGTAATTTTTAGAAAGCAATAAAAACTAATATAAGTAGTAATGGAATTTATCCAAAATGAGGCAAAAAAATTAAGTAGGCTAAAATAAAAGTTCATAGAGTCTTAGTAACCTAAGGGGTACTGGTAATATCATAGTTTCTAATATCTGTGTAATTGGAATTCCAGAAACAGAGAACAGAGGTAAAGGCAGATAATTTTTTCTTAAAAAATACCTAAAATATGTCCAATTTGATAAAATTATGCTTTCACAGTTCTGAGAATTGCAGCAAACCCCAAACAGGACACATATATATGCACATGTGGACAGGTGTGCACAGGGACACACATGTGCACACCTCCTGCAGTACACCATAATCAAATTACAAAAGCCCAGTAACAAAAGGAACAGTCTTCACAAGTAGGCAGAGGAAGGCAGAGATTACATGGGAACAAAGATAACTAAAGACTTTTCATAAGAAACTGCATAAAACCGAAGACAGAGGCCTTGCATGCTTTATGATGGCAGAGATGGCATCCCTAGGTGTGGCGGTCCATGCCCATCGTGCAGGTGGTTATGGGGGAAGGTGTGGCACTTTGTATTTTATGTGTAAGATTATACTCCCCTCAATCTCAAGGGATCTGGGCTGTGGTTTCTACTGAGATCCTGGCTTTGGTCCAATTTTCCTTGTTCCATCTCTGATTCTAAACTTGGTCCTACACCTTCTAGGAATCTCTTAGAGATTCCACAATAGCCTTTCAGTACATTTTCTTTTTGCTTAACTCAGGCATAATCTGTTTCTGTTAACAGGCAGCTAGTAACTCTTAAAAGCAGGACGCATTTAACATTTATTCTGTACTTTCTCATGACCATTTCAATATGGCAGGGTAGAGTCAAGTTAACTTCATATTTTTTCTAAGGCATTATGGTTACTTCCATTCAACTTCATACAGTTTTTAAAATTTTCCTTCAAAACTTCTTTCCCATCAATGCTTTCCTTACCAGTTCTATGCCTGAATTGTTTCTTGGCTGGGTTACCATTATAGGCTGAACTCCCTTCCCACCCACCAAATTCATATGTTGAAATCTTCACACTCAATGTGACTATATTTGGAAATACTGCTATTAAGTTGATAATTAAGGATAAATGAGGTCATAATAATGAGTCCCTAATCTGATAGGACTGGTGTTCTTGTAAGAAAAACAGTGCATTTCTCTTTTCAAGCGCATCAGAGGAAATGGCATGAGGACGTAGGCTGAAGTCAGTTGTCTATATATTAGGAAGAAAGTTATCACCAGGAACCAAATTTGCCAGAATCTTGATCTTGATCTTTTAGCTTCCCAAACTATGAGAACATATATTTCTGTTGTTCATACCACTAAATCGATGATGCTACTTATGGCACCACCAGCTTAGTAACGCAACTGTTGATAATCATAAGGTAGCTGGAATACAGCCTTCAGACTTCTTAACACAGCCTAAGTGGAGTGATCTTAAAAGTCCTGAAACTCAGAGTGGTGATCTCCCTGGCACTTTGAGATTTTAGTAAACTTGGCTTAAACCTTCAGTTTTACAGAACATAAAAGAGCACTGACTTTCATTTAATTTACTCAAATTTCTAAACTTCTTTTTTTCATAGTCCAGTGGATCCATTCTTGCAGTTCAAGTGGTGTGTCATCAGTTCCACCCTCCGCCAGCTGGTGCATAAAATCTTAGGCTCTTCACTATCTCCCATACAAAATGAAATTAACTCATGATTTTGTAGCTTTATGTAAAGCTCTAGGAACTATGGAAGGACATGATAATCTGTATTTCACAGGCTTCTCTGCCTACTTGCTTTTCCTTTTGACACTGCACTGGCTTCTCAAAGTAATAACTCACTATGTGACTATCCCCACAACCTTCTGAGAAATAAATTCTAATTTTCTTTCCCTTCTCTGGGCCTATGTTACTTCCTCAGCCCCTGAGTTATTCTACTGAATGAACATTTCTCCAAATCTTCACACAGAAATCTAACATATTCTCTTGTTTGAAATCCTTCATCATCTCTTGATTGCCTATATGCAGAGACTAGACTCAGTGTAGCATTTTGGTATCTCTGCAGCCTTTTTTCTCTATTCTCAAATACACATCACCCACAGTTGGAGCCTCCTAGGCATACTCAGCCCTAATGGGCATGGTCACTACTCCGTCATGAACCTAGGTGCCTGGCCCAATGTGTCAACTGCTACCTTTGCCTGCATTTTTAATTGGTCTTTGTAGGCCAGCCCTCCTATCTCTTGGGCTAACCTCTACAGTTTTCAGTGATCTTCGATCTCTCTTGGAGTGCCTGGCACAAGGTAGGTACTCAATAATTATGGAATATATACATGAACAAATAAGCACCCATGCCTGAAATCTTCCAAGGGATCTCATTGTTTAGATGATGCCACCCAAAGTCTAAAGACTGGTGTAAGGGATCCTCCAGAATCTGTGGTAGCTTGTACAGTCATCCCCTGGTATCTTCAGGAGACTGCTTATTGCATTCTCAAGGTCACCAGACTCTGCAAGTCTCTTATATAAAACAGACCTACATACTTCCTCTTATATGCCTTATCTCTGGAATACTTGTAGTGCCTAATATGTTATAAACGCTCTGTAAATAGCTGCTAAACTGTGTTGTTTAGGAAGTACACTCATGGGCCTGCTGCGTAACACTTCAGTCAATCATAGATTGTCTATATGGCAGAGATCCCATAAGATAATGAAGCTGAAAAGTTCCTATCATCTAGTGACATTGTACCTATCATAAAATCAGAGCACAATATACGTTTCTGGTGATGCTGGTATAAACGAACCTACTCTACTACTAGTTGCATAATTATGTACAATACATATACTTGATGATAATAAATGACTATTTCACTGTACAGTAAATACATAAAATGTATTTACTGTACTGTACTTTTAATAATTATTTTAGAATGTACTCCACCTACTTATAAAAAAAGTTTACTGAAAACAGCCTACTGTGTTATGGCAGCAGAAAACTCATACACCTCATATTTATGTCTCTATTGCATAATATTCTCTTGTGCTTGGTTTATTATTATGTTGTTTTGTTTATCACGGTCCCAGGAGCAATAGGCTTTCTCTCTCTCTCTCTCTCTCTCTCTCTCTCTCTCTCTCTCTCTCTCTCTCTCCCTCTCTCTCCCACACACACACACACACACACACACACACACACACACACAGACCTACACTCTATGGTGTATATATACACCATACCCATATACATTTGTGTTAAATACATTCTATAATGTTTGCACAGTTTGACAATGTATCCCCATTGTTAAGCGACAGAGGTCTAATGACAAAAATGCAAGTGTGTACATGTTTGGTGCAGACACAACCATCACAGCCCTGACTATTTAATGCAGCAACAACATAACCTTCTTTTGTCAAGCATTTTTCACTGGTACTGGGTTGAATCCTTGGCTGGGCCCCAAGGATACAGGGAGGACTGATTATTCAGTACCTCCTAACTTCTCCCTGGTCCCCACACCCCATATTTCCCACATACCCTTAGCTCTTATCAGAGATACGAAAAACAAACCCTGAGCCAGGAATATAGCTCAGTGGCACAGTACCTGCCTGGCAAGCACAAGGTCCTGAGTTCTATTTTCAGTATCAAAAAAAGGAAAAAAAAAGCAAACCCTGTCTTCTGGAAGCAATGAGTAGGGATGTAGGAAGAGGAAGGGCAAGGCCTCTGACTTTACCTCTGAAAGTTCTGGAGGCTTCAAGCAACTTTTCTTCTTTGAGCTCTCTCCACCTAGAAGGAAGCAGACCATCCATAAACTCACAGCCCTCTTTCTAAAAAAACAAGGTAGTGGCCAGAAAAGAATCTTTATCAGGGACGGGAAAAGGAGAAAAGAAATGATTTTTAAAAAAAGGATAAAATGGAAACAAAGCTTTGTAAATAGGGAAGGGGAAAAGGTTTGAAGGGAGGAGAGGGGTTTGGGGAAAAAAAGATGAATCAAAATACATCATGTACGGGTACAAATTCCCTATGATGAATATGATTGTTATGTATATCCAAAGTGTACCAATACACTTAGCAAAAAAGAAACTTTATCCAGTCAAAGTCTCACTGAAGCAGAGGGCCTGTGCTTGCTCCTTTAAAGGATAAGTCATAAATCAAGAAACGATGATCCTCCTCTAACTAAAGAACCATGGTTTCCTCTAACTTTCTCCTTCCAGGATTTTCCCTCCCTCTTCTACCTTTAAACTTGTAATCCTGTAGCATTTGCCCTGCAAGGTTAGCAAAAATCAATTTCTTGGGCAAATAAAGAGTATGGCCCAGAGGGGACAGTGATTTTCTTAAAGTCACTCAGCAATCAAGGGGCACAGCCAGTGCTGAAACTCCGGCTTCCTGGTCGTGGATTCATGCCCTGTCTTTTAACTGCTCTACAGTGAATCTATCCTAACAGACTCAATTAAGCTCCAGTGACACTCATCACCCTGAAAATACTGTCTTGTGCTGGGAAGGAGGAAGGCGTGTGAGGAATTGCAGGCAGCATGAGAAGAAATGAGAGATTTGCATCGTAGCTCTTGTCTTTCCATGGAGGGTAACAGGAAGAATGTAACTGTTTCTTCTCACATTTCTATAAGAACACATTTATTACTTTTATTTTGGAAAAACTTCATTTAAAGTTACAGATATATACTTACCAGTGAAAATAAAAGATGGCAGAGATGATAACCGCAGAAACAATGTCCAACAAGACCCATATGGCCATATAGAACCGCGGAGTCTGCAAAACACAACGGAAATTTTAAAACTTTATAATTGGAAGGATTTGGGATTATATGGGCCAAGTCCCTTGCTCTGCTGCCTAGGCTGAGAGGAAAGAGGAAGTGGAACAGAACAGGTGCAAGAGTCTCAGTACAGATGATCTGCAGGTATCCTAACTTTACCATCACGCAGGCAGGGGCTTACCAAGGAATAAAGCACTCCTCACCCTTATCTCCCTCCACCCTCAGGACAGAGGTCTGAGGAAGTCTCAGAGAAATCAAACAGCAATTCAGTTCTGCACCCAGGATTCCAGCCCAGGTTTCTTGACTTGCAGTACTCTATGTTTTCATGACAAAGCTTCCTACACCTGTCTCCACAGCCAAATCTTCCAGCTTTCAGTAATAAAGCGTCCTGGGTCTAACTACAGACCAGTTAAAGCTCTGTTTTAACATGTACTCCTGGTGATGCTGAAGCACCTAGTCTGTGAACCAGCACTTGGGAAGCACGTCTCTGAATCATCAATCTTCAAATAAATATGCTGAACTCTAATTCCCTTTTACCTACATGCCCACTGCTCCATGCTCTTTATTCAAATCACCTACTTCCCAAGCTCTGTCTCCTCATCTGCTAATATGAGTTTTATAATCCCCTGGCTTGATCTTTCCCTCCATTCCCACCTTTCTTGCTCCTCTTCCAGTTTTGTTTGATACCACTGGGGCTTATGCTTTTTGCTCTTTCTCAGACCATTCCCCACCCTACCCCAAGGGCCTTCTTTGGGCTGAATAATAATATTAATGACAACTTTAATAATCATGACAATGATAACAGCAATTAATAAGTGCTTCTTGGGAGCCTGGTAAGTATTCTAAGGCCATGTTCATCAGTAGGCAAGCATTTTCACCACGTTAGGTATATTTTCACATTTCATCATCACAATAGCCCTACTAGCTAAGTCTGTTAGAAGCTCAATTCCAGTTTCCACTAAACTGAGGCTGTTAGTCCCTTCTGGAAAATGCACTGATGCTTTGGTCTGCCGATTGCTCCAGGATGCCCACCAGGGCAAGCTGAATGTTCACCAAGCATCAGTGGTCCTTGCTCCCAAATGGCTTAACCACAGGTTGCCTGAATTTCTTACTGTAATTGTGCGATTGTGTTGGTCAAATTTACAAAATATGAGGGAAAAGAAGTATGTCATTTTCTTTTTTTTTTTTGTTTTTGTTTTTGTTTTTGTTTTTGTTTTTCTCTGGTACCGGGAACCGAACTCATGACCTTGCACTTGCCAGGCAGGCGCTTTTGCCGCTGAGCTAAATCCCCAGCCCAGAAGGATGTCATTTTCAAGAAAACTAAGTCAAATGATTTTTAAAGCTTAATGAAGACAAAATATGTCCTTAAAAGTATAAACTGCAGTTCGATTGGGTATGAGTGAAACACTGAGAAATTAAGGTAGGGAGACTATTAGACCTAGGTTGATTCCTCATTCTGGTTGTTTCTCCAGTGACTTTACATTCTTGTTCCTTTTTTTTCTTTTTGAGACCGGGTTTTGCTATGCAGTTCAGGCTGGCCTTGAGCTCACTTTGCAGCCCAGGCTGGCCTCAAACTTGCAGCAATCCTCCTGCTTTAGCCTCCTGAGTGCTGGGATTACAGGCGTGAGCCACCATACCTGGCCTTGTTCCCTTTTAAAGAAACAAAAATTAAAAGCCATAGGCATGTTTAGTTCATTTGGATGTTTAAATAAGTAAGAGAATATAAAACTCAATCAGCTAAAGTATCCAATAAGAAAAGGTTTTGTCTGTCAAAAGGTGAATGAATTTTAAATTAAAATGTGTTGAGGAGTGTGTGTGTTATATACTGTATACTATAATGACCACAATATTCCTTCCAGACCTATATGCCGGCTCCTAAACAACGTGGCTTAGCTGTGCCACCCATCAAAATGTGAAGTCTAGAGACCTTGTATCCGGACTTGGACATGTGGCTTTCTCTGCCAGTGGAAGATTATCAAACACTGGGGGAACACTGAAAAGCGTGTGTGCATTGGGGTTTGCCCTCTCTTGCTGCTGGGAACTCACTGTCACCAGAGGAACACACTCAGGCTGGCTTCCTTGAAGATATGTGGCCACAGAGACCTGAGTCATCCCAGGTGAGACTCCAGACAAATCAATGAGGCTATCCTAAACATAGACCATTCAACCTAACCTTACAGGCTTAGAACAGAGGGACCACTTAGTCATCATACAGAACGTAAGGCCTACTGAAATGAATTTTAAGATGCTAAGTTTTGGGTGGCTTTTTTGGGGGGAGGGTACCAGGAATTGAACTCAGGACCTCATGCTTGCCCAGCAGGCACTGTGCCTCTGGGCTATATCCTGGGCCTTTAGGTGGTTTTTGGTAAGCATTTAAAGCTATCTGATACAGTGTATCTTTTTAATGATTTATCTACCTTAGCTTTCTCAATTAACAGACCAGTGGTTAGACCATATTGCATTGGATAAAAGTGCTTCTATTTTACTATCGTCTCCAACTTAAAAACAACAAAGCAGGTACAGACAGATTAATTCTTATTTCCAGGTTCATACGGTGCATGCACAATCTTAACTCCAGAGTGTGAGCTGCCTACAAAAGCCCTGCCTCTCTAAACAAAAGGACACACTACACTATTCCTTTAAGAAAAAGCCCAGGCTAGATGGGAATATTTCTTTTTTTTAACCTTACATCCTTTTATGCTTTTTGAACTCTGAGTCATATGAATTTACTATCAGTTCAAGTACTGAAATGAAAAAACAGCATCATATAAGTAAAAGTGTACTTCCCAAACTTTGAGACATTAGTGATTCAGGGAGATAGGATTAGGGAGGGTGGGTTGTTTTCCAAATTGAACATTTCCACAATTGAATTTTATATAATGAATAACTTTACTTTTACAATCAATTCTAAAAAACAAAAGTGTTACAAAAATATATGGTATACACATTAAGGAAAGTTGTATAGGGGTCAGACAGGTAGAAAGACTTCCCCTGCACTGAGGATTTTGTCATCCGAGGCTCCCTTCATAGTTATTCACCAGAGAAAGGAGTCAGCAGCTCTGTATTCCTACCAGAGAGCCTCCACATAGTACGGGCCCCACGGGATTGTGTGCCTGACCCTGATCCCAGGTCTCCTAGTCCAGACTCTGAACAGGTCAGAAACAGGGACCAGTGAGAGTAGAGGTGTGGGGAGGACAATGCAACTCCCCCAGCCCACTGCAGGTTTCTCTGCCTAAGGTTTTAAATTTAAGGAGCAAAATTAAACTGTTTTCTAGCTAGGTATGGTGGCATGTACTCCCAGCTTCTTGGAGGCTGAGGTAGAAGGGTCATTTGAACCTAAGAGTTCAAGGTCAGCCCAGACGACATAATAATATCTGGTCTTGTGGTGGACAGACAACTGGTGGTCAACTTGTAACACTCAGCTGAATTGAACCAGCGTGGTGCTGGGTGTGGGAGCCCCACCTGAGGATTGTTGCCAGCAGCATAAGAGACAGAACTGGAGAAGGAGATTGGCTGTTGGGAGCTGGTAGAAGCTATGGGGTACTGTTACAAGCTGTTGGTTCTCTTGGAGGAGCTTGTGATGCTGGTTCTCCTGATGAACTCAGCTGTTATCATCCAAGGTGCTCAGGACCTTGTTGTCACTGAGAATGGCTTTGGTTCACTTTGGGGAGCTTTGGTCTTCACTTTGAACATGGTTTCCTGGCTCCTGAGGGGAAGATGGTGCACTGCTCAGTCTGCTGGAGAAGCTTGTTGCTTTGGCTTTCCTAATGGGAACCCGGCTGTCCTGATAATCAGAGGAGCTTGGAATTTCACTGTTGCTGAGGATGCCTGTGGTACTTTTCAGGGGAGCTCTGCTTCTTACTTTGAGCATGGCTTCTTGGCTCCAGTGTAGATCCTTCAGCCTGCTAGCACAGATCCTTCATCCCACTGGCATTAGACTTTCTGGCTTCCACTACTGGCCTTTGGGCCTTCCCAGCACAGATCCGTGGAACAAGCCTGCATGAAATATTGTTGGGGACTCTTGGCCTCCAGCTGGACTCCTGGGAAGCACTGTTTGGGCTCTAGATCTTCAGCTGGACTCATGCAAGACATTACCGTGGGATCCAGGCCCTCAGCTGGATTCTTTGGTATTTAGTGTGGACAGATTTCTTGCACTCTATGATTCTTTGGGTGACTATTATAAATAATCTTATAAAATATGTATCCTGTATTACATTGTTCCTCTTGCAAAAGCCCCAGACCACAACACATCTTTAAAATAAAACAAAAACAAACAGAAAAACCCATTCTCTGCTGTGTGCTATTGTGCCCCACTCATTCAACCTAATCTGCATACAGATAAGAAAGACAGCCTCTGTCCTAATAAGTGGCTGGCCTAGTCTCCCTCCACAGCTAATAAGTGATGGAATTCAGTTGGGACTGTAACCAGGTCTTCAGGTCCCCAAGCTTCTGACAATGAGGAACAGAAGGGATAGAACAAGATACCAGGGTAGGCAGCTAAACATGGCTTACCTCTTCAAGAGCATCTACCCAAGGCACAGTTTTGACTTTAGAGTCAAGTACACTTCATTTTCTTCCCACATCCCATGCCATTGTCCATTGTAGCTGTACCTCTAGGAATGCGGGGCTGCAATAACACAGCTCTGGAGTCAGACCACATTCTGAATCTTACATCATGAGGTCGTGTGCAAAGATGTCTTTGTTCTCAGTTTCTTCATGGAGATAATAACAATAGTAGCCAGCTCAGAGGGTTGAATTACATACTGCGTGTAAAGCAGACTATATCGATTCAATAAATGAAAATCACAGGAGGATTTGGGTGAAAAAATGGTGAATGCCACATTTCCAGTATCATGGAAGTTTCTGCTCTTGAGTAGCTTCCAGGAGACTGTGCAGTTTCTAACGCAGGGGTAGAGGGCATAGACCACTGTGAGGCCAGGCTTAAAAGAACAATTTGGACAAGCAGCTCACCATGAAGAAGTGGGGGCGAGTAAGCTGACTCAGGATTGGAATGTTGTCTGTTGTCACTGAGTTAATTCTGGAACACCAGGCTAGCGAGAAAATCCAAGGCTCATTGACGAGGTACAAATTTATATTGATGTTTGCTGCCTTATAATCCCTGGAACAAAAACAGAACCGCCAGGGGATTTAGACCCACTTTGCTCTCAGTACCTAACAGAGGAGCAGCCACCACGTCTGTGAAAGGCTGTTGACTAAATCATCAGGAGGGACTGATCCAGGGACACTTTATAGTTCACAGTGACAGGGCTGTGAGATAAAGAACTGGATCTAGTACCTCTGCTTCTGTAACAGCAATGGTGAGCTGGAATTTAGTGAAAGAGAAGAAGAGAGATGGAGAAAAGAGGAGAGAGGGAGAGAAGAAGAGAGAGAGAAAGAGGAGAGAAGAGAAGAGAAAAGGAGAAAAAGAAAGGGAGAAAGAAAGGAAGAAAGGAAGAAAGGAAAGAAAGAAAGAAAGAAAGAAAGGAAGAAAGGAAGGAAGGAAGGAAGGAAAGAAGGAAGGAAGGAAGAAGGAAAGAAAGAAAGAAAGAGAAAAAAGAATGGGGGCACCCTGGCCCTATTTGTAATATGTGAAAATTTCCAAGTCAATTTCAACCTACTGTTGTGAAAACCAATTTTCATAGTCCCGGACCCTTTAATATAGTAGCTGGCTTCTACAAGCTGCGGTAGGCTTCCTCTGGCATGCTATAGTAGCACCTGCCTTTACTTGCATCCCAGCATTTATTACCTCTTAATGATCTGCTCACCCATCACTCTTCTTATACTTGACCATAAGTAATTTAAGAAACTATGTCTTACTTATCTCTTGTATGTACAGGCCTAGTACAATACCCGGCTCCAAAGTATTAGTTGAACATACAAAATAAATACCAATCTAGTGAACATTTTACATTTCAAATATGCAGAGTTTTTATAAGAATTGAGTCAAGTGAATAAAACCCAATTTTTTCTAAGGCTGTAGAACAGGAAGAAAATAAGTAAAGAAACACATCGAGTAATTCTAGTCAAGTTGCTACTTTCAGGGATTCAATTCTCACAAAAAATACCATGGCAGTACTTTCAAAATTTTTAACCCCAACAAAGTATGTCATATTGGTTTTTTTGTTTGTTTGTTTGTTTTTGGTTTTTCTCCGGTACCAGGAACTGAACTCACGACTTTGCGCTTGCCAGGCAGGCGCTTTTGCCGCTGAGCTAAATCCCCAGCCCCAGTATGTCATATTGGAAACTGCTCTGTGCAAGCCTGTTATGAGCACTAGCTCTGCCATACACTCATGTGGCATACTCTCAGCCTCAGTTTATAAACTGAAGAAGAATAATATCTCCTTTGCAGGGGAGTGGTGGCAACTACTTAATGTGTTTTTCATTTTTCTTCTGGTACCAAGAATTGAACTCATGACTTTGCGCTTGCCAGGCAGGCGCTTTGCCGCTGAGCTAAATCCCCAGCCCCTCAACTACTTAATGTGTAAGAACTATCTCTAATATAATTCTAAGGATCACCTAATTACAAATGTTTTTCAATTAGGAAACAATAGTAGAAAGTTACTTCCTTGTGCCTTTTGAAACAAAAACTAAAAAATCAACCATATTTATATATATTAATAAGGAATTGCAGAAACTTAATCAAAAAACAATAAATGCTGGTAAGGCTGCAGTGAAGAGGGAACACTTCTACACTCTTGGTGGGAGTGTAAACTAACACAACCACTATGGAAGTCAGCATGGAGAGTCTCAAAAAACTAAAACCGTAAATTCTATTCAAACCAGCTATTTTCCTTCTAGGTATCTTTAAGAAGGAGTTAAAGATACATTACAGTGATACATATGTATCCATATTTATAGCAGCCTAATTCCTAATAGCTAAATCTTGAAGGAGGTCTATATGTCCATCAACAGATGAAAGGATAAAGAAAATGTGGTATTTATATACAATGGAGTAATACTCTGCCATAAAGAAAGACAAACTTTAATGTGAGTAGGAAAATGGATTTCTTATATGAGCAACCCAAAATATAAATAAATTATAGAGGAAAATAAAAGATAGTGTACAAAATAGGGTGACAGATCTTTTGCATAAGGTAGGGAACCAAGATATGGATGGAGAGGGATTGAAAGCAGTAAAGGAATAAAAAGAAATAAGATGTGTTATATCATGTACCATCTCCCCACAATGAATGCAATCATTATACACTGCAAACATGTATTAAAAAAATTTTTAAAGTGTATTATATGATGAGAGATTATAGCACAAAGGAGGAGGAGCTCAAATCTATTTTTGGGGGGGAGAATAGTCTACACTTAGTAATGTCTGCTAGAGGAAAGGATGGAGAGGCAGAAAGGAGAAAGTAGAGGAACTAAAAAAGATAATCACACAAAGAAGTCCTAATATGAGAAGGGGTAATTAAACAGCTTAGGGGATACGTATGTTTTGTACCAGTAAGGCAACACAGGCCAAGAGAGGTATGGTTACTTACTTCAATCCATTGTGGAATAACCTTTTGTAGTCAACATTTATTATACTGATATTTTCTTTTGTAAGGCGTTCAATAGAGAATAAACGGCCCACATGCTGAAAACCAGGGGCCATGTATCTGACATAATCTCTATCATGACCTGGCAACCAAAAAATCTATAAGGAGAAACAAGATAATTAGCTATCTAATTATAAATAGCCCCAGAGAGAGGGATGGAGCTCCATCCTAACACTGGCGGTAGTCTATAAAAAGCAGAGGAAGATTTTAGCCCTTAGTGGAACAGTCAGTCTAGCCTAATGCTGTCTGATGAACTCTTACGATGAGACCCAGGGTTTTCTTGGAGCTGAATTTTCCCAGGGTCAAAGCCCAAGGTGTATAGAGAGACTAGTATTTTAAAAAGTTGATGAGGACTGGTGATAAAGCTCAGTTGTAGAGCACTTGCCTACCATGCACAATGCTCCAGACTCAATCCCTAGTCCAAAAAGAAAAAAAGGAAAGAGGCTGGTAAAGTTGGTAGATATGGATAAAAGATGGGGATCCAAAAAATCTCTGATTAGTGCTAAAAATAATCTTTAAGATGAGTTATTTCCTATCGCTAGGTTTGCTGTTATTAATCATCTGTGGAAATAGTTCCATTTCATAATATATATCTATTTCTTCACCCATAGCACTTTTATATACTGACAATTTAAGTGATTTGGAACAACTGACAATTCACATGTAGTTTTGGTTCTGAAAACATGATAAACAGATTTCTAGTAAGAACCAGCTGTATTTCCATAGCATTGATCAAGGCTAATCCTCAGAGCTTTAGTAACTCTACTAGACCTATGTTGGTGATGGTGCAGGTCACATCACATAATAATTATACATGTTCCTCTTCAACAAGGTACTGATATTTCCCTTGGCTTGGAATAGCAAACAATCTCAACATTCTCCTGCACTGAGATAAATTCAACTAGCGCATTCTCGGATAGCTGCATGTAGATGTATACAAAATAATCTTGCAGCTGCATGTGGTGGCACCTGCCTGCAATCCCAGCACATGGGAGGCAGAGGCAGTAGGATTGCCATGAATTTGAGGACAATCCAGGCTATGTAGTGAGCTCAAGGCCAGCCTGAACTACAGAGTGAGACCCTGTCTCAAAAATATATGCATAATTTTATTTCCCATAGAGAAAAAAATTATTTAAGAATCCCAGAAAATACTGAAAAGATAGGTCAAATTGAACTACTGTTCTCCTGGAACACACAACCCACACCTCCCAATCTTGACCATAAATACTAAGATAGACATACCAGATGTTGTTCAATTTTAGAAGCAAGGATCACGCTTACTACCCGACGGACATACGTGTTTCTGAGAGGATGTTTTGGTGGAGGACCAAAAAGATCAAATATCACAAATTTTTTTTCCTTTTTTGCAAGATTCAATAAATCAGCTAGCTGTGGAATTGACTGGTTACTTGCTCGTTTTTTATCTTCCTCTGTTAGATAATCCATATTGAAATATGGTCTGGTCTAAAAATAAATACATCAAAGAAAAACATTGATTCCCATCAGAAGTATTTTCCAGTTCTTCTGTTTTATCCCCACGCAGCTCTACTTCTGTTTTGTTCCATTTCCACTCAATCCCTTATGCCCTCTGAAATGCTAGTTCTGAGATAAGCATTGCCAAGAAGAGAAAGAAAATGTAATCTCCATGGGTAACTATGCTGATTCGAATGATTTTCTCTATCTCCTAGGACTTCTTGTGTTTGTATTGAAGGTCTTCAATGCTTTTATCTTGGTCTTCCTTTATAGCCTTTTGTTTTGTAATTCAGACTAATACATCCCTTTCAGTCACACTGTCTTCATGCATGTGTTCTCACTGCTTTAGTTTTGTGTAATGAAAAGGATATATGTTTTGACTTCCAAAGGAAATAGATTCAATCCTTGTTATACTCCTCCCTTATTTGCCTTCTTTGCCAATAGCCTCCTGCTAAAATCCTACTCTCAGCCTGTTCAAATGCTACTCCTTTCATGAAGCTTTCTTTAAATATTCCTGAGCTAGAGTTCAATGGCCTTTAAGCCCTGATGGCCCATTTTTATGCCTCTATAAATGTCTGTCTCATTCTACCTTGCATAGTCATTTGTCTGATTCTTAGACCCTAGTTCAAATCCTTGCTCAATATGATTCTTGCTGTACAACCTTGGAAAAATAATTTAAATTTTCAGTCTTCATCATTTACTCCATCAAAGTGGAAGGGTAATCTATGTACTCCTTAGGATTAGGTTGAAAGCTAAGTATTATAAAATATTTATAGGGTCTTGGAGCATGATTCATGCACAGAAAAGCACATGATTCATTTATTCTCTATTGATTCTTACTGGAATAAAAATCTCTCATAGTAGGAACCGTTGTATATTCTTTGTAGGGCACAGCACTTCACCTTATACATGGCAGGCTCCACTTATGTTATATGTTAAATTTCATAGATGTCTACTGCTCTATTATCACTTGCCGGTTTTAGGTCATTTGTAGGAGCAGGAAGCAGTAGCTACCTCACATTTTCTTAAAACTCAAGTAACATTTCTTTTTCTCTATGCAACTTCATCATCATTCTCATTCCTCTCCTTCCATTTCTTCTCCTCCTCCCCTTACCTTCCTAAATGAGCCACCCTTTCTCATGTATATCATAAGCAACCCCCCACCCCCATAAAGTTGCTAGACTAGTCCTGCAGACTGGATGCCATGAGATGAGCAGCTTTCTTTTTTTTTTTTTTTTTTTTTTGGTTTTTCTCTGGTACCTGGAACCGAACTCACAACCTTGCGCTTGCCAGGCAGGTGCTTTTGCCGCTGAGCTAAATCCCCAGCCCGTGAGTAGCTTTCCTTTGCTGTGTCCTTCTGCCTTCATGTTTTTGCCTTGGAGCCAGCCAACCCGAAATGTCTGACACTGTGAGCCAAAATAAACCTTTTCTCTTTAAATTGTGTTTGTCAGGTACTTTGTTACAGCAACAGAAATACAACTTACTGAAAGTTGTTAACACAGAGGTAGGGTTGTTGCTGTAAGTATACCTGACCTTGTGGTTCAGAATGTGTGAGAAGAGACTGGAGAATCAGGCTGAAGAAATCCTAGAAGGCTGAAAGTAGAGATTGGTAGGCAATTCTGTTGGTCTCAGATGACCAGAATGCTTAGGGGAATGTGGAAAGTAAAGACTGCTCTCAGGAAGTTTCACATGGGAATGAGGATTTTGTTGGGAGTTGGACTCGTGGGCATTCATGTTACAGTCTGACAAAGCATTCGTCTACATTTTGTCCACATCTTAAAACTTCATGTGAGGCTGAGTTTAAAGGTGTCAGGAATATTGTTGGTTGCTTTTAGCCATATCCACAGTGAAAAATGGGAACAAGAGACCTGAAATACTGGCAAAAACTTTCAGTTTGGCTAGAAAATGAGTTTTGTGTAAAGCGGGGCACCAAGAAGTTGTGGTTGCTGAAGAAATTAGCAAGATTAAAAAGCCAAGGCAGGCATGGTGGCACACCCTTATAATCCTAGCAGTCTGGGAGCTGAGCCAGGAGGATCACAAGTTCAAGTCTAGGGTCTTGGGGAGATCAAGACCTGGGTAACTTAGTGACTTAGCAAAACTCTGTTTCGAAAAATAAAAAAGGGCTGAAGACACAGCTCAAGACAAAAGCCCTGGGTTCAATACCTTGCTACCACAAAAATAAAACAAACAAACAAAAACAGGAACCCAAGTATTTTGCACCAGAACAACAAAAATATACCTCAAGGACATCTCAAGAATTGGCCAGTCTCCAATTACTGCAGGCTCAAGGAGGTAAAAGTATAAAGTTGTTTGAAACATGTTGCTTTGACAAGAGCCCCCAAAGTGCCCTGTTCATTTAAAGGTGTGTAGAGAAGTGCTTGCCTGAGTTCTGCCCCCCAGGCACTCAAAGGTCACTTCATCCATGATCAAAAGAGACCTGACTAATGCTCAAGCAGGTCACATACTTTGGCACTGTCCACGCGATTCTGATTTTTACAAGCGTATAGAATGGAAGCATTATGGGGTCATGAACACTTCCACCAAGATTTCCAAGGAAGGGCTGCAAGGCCAGGCTATGCATGACAGTATTGGAGTCTCTGACAGGAGACCTTAAGAGGGCAATCAATGCACGAAGCTGTGGGAGGCTGAAGCTGCAATGGTGACTCAGGAAGTTGGAAATCCACAAGCAATAAGCAAAATCAGCCCAGGAGAAAGGCCATGTGGGCTGCAACCAGGAAGCCCACAAAGGCAAGGCTGCCTAAGCTCTCTGGATTACACACCTCACTATCACATATCCTGGATGCTGGACATGGAGTTACAGGATTTGATGTTTATCCTACTGGGTTTTGATCTTGCTTTGTGTCAGACTTCTCCTCCAACTCTGTCCAGGGTGAGCAGATCCCCTGAACTAGGTGCCCGCAGATGTATAAGAAAAGTAAGAAAAACATCAAACCACAAGAGCCAAAATTCTGTGATCAGGACCTAGCAGCCTCTAGGATTGACTGCTCCTAAATACCAAATTCAGTCACCTTTTATTGAGCAAGAACCAAGGACTTGGCTAGGACAAATGGGCAGATACCAAACATTTTAGCAAGAATAATTAAAGGATCACCTAAGACATGCCTATAATCTCAGCATTCAAGAGGCTGAGACAGGAGGATCTTAAACTGAAGGTTAATCCAGAATGTATAATAAAGCCTTATATTAAGAAACTCTAACAAACAAATCATTGTGTCCTCAGTGCATTCTAATCAAATAATGTCCTTCTCCACAGCTTTGATAGGAGTCTTTTCTATCTCCCTAGTCCTTCCTTTTGGAATGGAGATGTTAACTCTGTGTCATTGTATCTTGAGAGTAGGTGTCTTGGTTACTTTTTTCTCGCTGCTGGGACAAAATACCTGATGCCCAAAATTAAGGAAGGAAAGGTTTATTTTGCTTACAGTTCATGGAAGTTTCAATCCGTACTTGGCAGATTATAAGGCAGAGTGGCACGTGGCAGAGGGCTGCATCTCAGGGCGGCAGCACAGCAAAGCAGCAAGCCACACACCAGGGCAGAATGGGGGAGGAATGCCCCCAAGCAGCTTCTTCCTCTCCCTTACATATGCAAACTATCCACTCCAGGGCTGGTGTAGCTCTCACACCCACAATCATTCAATTCTAATAGCCTGCCCCATGTCCACATGAGGCATTGGGGGGACACACAGACATAAACCATAACAGTAGGTAACTTTTTTTAATAGGGGTTTACAGATGTCTTGAGTCAGAATTGACTTTGGACTTGGACTTTAGAGCAATGTAGAAATTGTTAAGACTTTTGAGACTCTTGGAAATAGACTAAATATATTTTGTATTATGAGGTAGACTTCAGCATTTGGGGATGGGGTGGGATGTTTTGGTTTAGATTTTTTAAAAAGGCTCCCAAAAGGCTCATGTCTTCAGAGGTAGGGCTCTTGGCAGATAATTAGATCATGGGAGCACTAATCTCATTGATGGGTTACTCCATCGATGAGTTCATAGCTGAATATGTTGTCAGAAGGCAGAGGTTGGTTAGAAATAGTAGATCCTGGGAACATAGTCATATGCCCAACCCATTCCTCTCACTCTCTGATGTTTTTTCGATCTCTCTGCTTCCTGGCTGCCATGAGGTGAGCAGCTTTCTTCCACCATGCCCTTCCACCATGATGTTTCTGCCTCTGAGCCAGTCAATCATGGACTGAAACTTCTTAAGCTATGAACCAAAATAAACCTTTTCTCCTTTAAAAAAAATTTGCTAGACCAGAAGGCAGAGCATGGAAATTGAATGAAACCATGATGTCCATAATCTCAACTACCTCAATGAAGACATTTTTAAAAATCATAAATGGTAACATGTTTATAGGTTCCAGGAATCAGGGTATTTGGGGTCCATTATTTTGCCTACCATACATCATGAAAAAGGCCAAATTCTTCAAAGAGACCTAACAATCCTAAATATATGTTCTCTTAATGAGAAAGCTTCAAAATGTGTGCTGCAAAACCAAATAAATCTGAAAGGAAAAGTAGCAAATCAACTTCATCACCCTTCACTCAGTAACTGAAAAAACAAATGGACAGGAAATCCATAACAATAGAGACAAGTGGGGCTGGGGATTTAGCTCAGCGGCACAGTGCCTGCCTGGCAAGCGCAAGGTCATGAGTTCGATTCCAGTACCAGAAAAAAAACAAAAAAGAATAGAGACAAGTTAAACAACATGACCACTTCACTGGCATAATGATATTTATAGAATATTCTACCCAACAACTGCAGAATATACTTTCTTGTCACATGCACTAGGAACATTTGTCAAACCTTAATAAACATAAAAAAATGGAAGTCATACAATACATATTCAGGTAAGAACAGAATTAAACTAGCAAGAAATAATAAAAATATCTGCAAATCCAAAATTTTTGAAGTTTTTAAGAAAAATATTCCTAAACAACCCATGGGTTAAGGAAGAAGGCTGAAGAGAAATTTAAAAATATTTCTAGGGGGGCATAGTGGCACATGTCTGTAATCCCAGCATTCTGGGAAGCTGAGGCAGGAGACTTGCAAGCTCAAACCCCACCTGTTTTAGTGATTTAAAAAATTTTTAAAAGGCTGGAGGTATAGCTCAGTTACAAAGGCCCTGGATACATTCCCCTATCCTGAAAAAAAAATTCTAACCAAATAAAAATTAAAATACAGTATACCAAAACCTACAAATGAAGTTGAATCAGGGTGTACAGGTAAACATAATAATAATGTTTATATTAAGGAAAAATTTAAATCAATAATCTAAGCTTCTACCTTAACAAACTAGAAAAAGAAGGTAAAATCAAACCCAACTCAAACAAAAGAAATACGGATTTGAGCAGAAATCAATCAAATTAAAAGTAGAAAATCCATAGAGAAAAACAATGACACGAAGCACTGTTTCTTTAATATAATCAACATAATTGTTGAATCTCTAGTCAGCTGAAGAGAAAGAAATTGCAAATTACCACAGTCAGGATCTTGTGGTTATTAAAAAGAATAGTAAAGAAACATTATAGCTGGACTTGGTGTCACACATCTGTAATCCTATCTATTTGGGAGGCTGAGGCTGGAAGATCAGTGCCAGTTTGGGCAATTTAGTAAGACCATGCCTCAAAAAGAAAGAGAAAGGAAGAAAGGAAAAAAGGAAGGAAGGAAGAAAGGAAGAAAGGAAGGAAGGAAGGAAGGAA